TATTTTTTTGTTTTCATTTAAATGTTTAGTTTTGAAATGTTGTTGCATTTGTCATTTTTATTGTATTTATTTTATTTTATTAAATGTGTGTATATATATATACATATATATATATACTGTATATATATATATATATATATATATATAGTATTTATAGAGTTTTAGCTTTTAGTTTTAATTACTTTTTCTTATTTGTAAGTCGCTTTGGATAAAAGCGTCTGCTAAATGACTAAAAGTAAAAGTAAAGTAAAGTAAAATTACAAATTGCTTAATGGCTGCTGTATTAAGGCTACTGCATTGCATTGCTTTTCCTTCAACTGTCCAAACAGTAAAAATCCTTGGCTCTAGCAGTCTTTTCACTTAAAAACACATCACATGCTACTCTGGGCATTATGTCCTTGGATTTACTTGCAAAGTCAAGCTAATCAAAATTGTATTTATTTATATATGATTATTATTTAATTTTTTGTCATGTCATTAAATAATAATGACTCCAATTACTTTTATGGTCAGGCCATGTGTAAGCTTGTTTAATAAGTAATGGGTATAATTATTAGTAAATACATAAATATAAATATAATAGTACTTAATAACATAAATATATTTCATTATAGTTTTTGATTTTGACTTAATCAGTGTGGCAAGCTGATGATTGAATGATCTATCTTTTAATTATGCATTAATGATGTAATGTTAAGACTCTGAAGGCAAAAAGTCATACCGACACTGCTTCACAACTTTAATTTATTTTTGAATATTGTTATTTGACTTAAACACTGATTAAGCTTTGGTGATTGACATTGGCCATACAAATCCTAGAATGCTTCAACCACAGTAAATGCCACAATGTTACACAAGTTGGACAGTGCATAGAATGAACAATTAATAGAGAGGACAGAAAATCAGGAGCTTGACACACCAAATGGAGATGCACAGAAACGCCCTCTAAAAATCTGTCACTCAAACACTTGTATTTAACGTACATCCTCTGATTGTTTGAAGATTTGAGGGAGAGGCAGAAGAGATGAGTTTGGCTTCAAAGGCATTTGATCTTGCCTCACTTCGGGTGAAAACAATGTTTTGAATTTCATTTATTTATTCTGTTCCATGTTTGTTAAATATATATTTGGATATGTTCAGGAAAATGGTACGATGTTCCTAGATAAACTTTGGCATCGCTGTCATTTTGAAACATTGAGTAAAACACGCCTTGTGATAAAAAAAAGACATGTAGAAGGAAAGAAATGTTGACTTAAGTCAACAAACAAACATTGTTCGGGGAAAAAACGGGCACACCCTGGACCAGTCAGCGATGCAAATTATGCACCTTAAAGCCATCAGGTGCGAGATTTGACAGAAAATAATGAGAACCGCTGAATCTTTTATAAGGTTAACACTCACATTTCCCAGTCAGCTGTCACACAAGAAAGACTTTAGCGCATTCATGCTGGAGAAATATACCTTTATTGGCTCATTAAAGCTGACAGGGGGCTCGGGACCGCCAGCACTCAGGCTTGGGACCGCCGGTGCGCCACCCCGTTTTGTGTCAGTAATTTGCAGAGGAGATATACCTACCTTGAAAAAAGCAAAGGGGAAAATTATGAAGGAAGCAAGAATGAGAGAGCGAAATGGCAGAAGCTGGTGGGGCGAGTGCCGAAAGATGGGGGTGCCAGAGAGTGGGGGGCCTTAAAGAAGGGTCTTGGGGGAGGGTGGAAAGATCGCTAGCACACCAGGAGTCTGATTCTCTCCTAATTGGAAGCATTGGGCATTGTCAACTGAGAATTTTCAGTCGCTCACTGACAGGTAGAGTCGTCAGGATGATAGCCCACTTGTCAGCGCAAAACACCAATAAAAACAAACCACTTTTGATTTAATTGGAGGCCTAGCCGTAGTGGGCTAGGACTGAACGGGTTGGGGGTTGTGCATCGCTTCAGGGAAAAACCGGTGTGTGTGTGTGAGTGTGTGTATCGAAGGGATGTTTGACAAAGAAATCATCACTTTGTGTAAAACACCCAGAGCGGTGGCTCACATCGTCGGACAGAGGAGAGCAGGCCGTCGTTATTTTGTGTGTGTGCAGGAGCGTGGGTGGTCACTTCCCATGGTGCTGAGGTTACAGGAAACATAGAGTTTGATTTGGTCTCTGGAGGCCTACAGGCTGTTCAGCACTCATCACTTCCGAGTGTTTCTTCTCAAAAATGCACGCTCAGAGAGATATTGATATGGTGATACCTCAGAGAATGAAGCAGAAGAAGAGCTGACCCTATACCTGACTTTTGCTACAACCACCTCACCGA